TTATGCAGATAGCACGCGACCGTTCAGCTGTCCTGACTTTTTGTAAGGGCGCTTGTCTGGGTTTGCTGAGTATTGTCAGCTTTTTAGGCTGGGCTTAAGCTCGCATTTTATCATTAGCTTAGCTGGAGCTGGTAAAAATGCTCTTTTAGTAATAAGTGGAATGAAGAAGCTAGAAGATGACAGCAGTTTTTTACGATGCCTGCGGGTGTTTTTTTGTACTTCGAAGACAGGGCTATGCGTAAGCTGGGATAGACAAAATACTAAGAATCTTAATATTTTATAGTATGAAAGCGAAATAGATCTTAGACCACGATATGTTTAGACCGGTCTTTTATATCAGCAAACGTACAATAGTGGGACAAAAATCGAGAATTACAAAATTGTATCGTAGGAGTATCTTCAAACATTGTTGTAGTTGAAGTCGGAGTATGCTTTCTTAATTAGCACATATCACATTTAACGTTTTCACCCTAAGCTGTAAGCAACCGCCCTGAGCAAAAATGTTTGTTTAATTACCTTTCATCTGGACAGACAACGTTTTGTTTAGAAGGTTTCAGAGAATAGTAAACCAACGGCGTGAATACAGGTGCGTATATGTGAGAGATAAATTGACAATTTTTTTTTATTTTGCACCCTACACGTTTAAACGCCATTATCCATGTTCCTTCTAGCTGTATCTGGTTGTACTATTTCAAACGTGCTACTCTAACGGGCAGCTATATATTCCCCATAGTACCAGGAGGTGCGCAACGGATGTCCCGGGAGGGAATAAACGGCGGCACCCCCGGCCGCTAGCGTAGACTCGCAAGGGTTCTGCAAGTATCGACTAGAAAGCATCGTCGACAGGACGAGAGACCACTATCGGAGCTGGGCTAGTATGAAGCGATGTAGCACCGCCGAGCCCATCATCTGGCTGCCATGGAGAATCAAGTGGAGAAAACAGTCAAAACGATGCGACCCTTACCAAAGGGCACGACCAAGAAGCGGCTGTGGATGAAGAAAACTGCAGCAGGAGATAGTAGAAAACGTTTTGCAGAATGAAAACAGGGAATAGTACAGCAAACTGCAGTGTCGAGTGGATTCGACGGAGACCCATTGCCCGGCGGATCATGCGGAATGGCGAATAATGTAAAAAATACAGCGGGTATGAATAGGCTATTACCTGACCGACTCACAAGATACAAATACAACTCATACAGAAAATGGGCTCGACTGAACGGACGTTTTAATGCGTCAGTGAACCGAACGCTACCCAGGACAAAGGTGGATCGAGAAATTAATCGTTGGGACCTGCATGGGTACAGTGTACGATGCAAGTATACACGAATGCATGTTAAGATAGCCAGATTGTACACTGTACCCTGCTGGATAGGAAACAGGTAGCTTGTGTAAGTAGGCGTGCAGGATTTGACAGCCGTAGCCGTTGGGAAGGGTAAAAAAAAACACCCGATCTGCAGGACTGTTTCATAGCTCGCCCCGAGTGCAATCGGTGTTAGCCGCATAAAATAAAAATCAAAACCAACGTGCAAATATTAATGGAACTTTGTAAAAGGAGGGGTGATGCGGTATCTCTCAGCTCATACGAAACGGAACGTAACTAGTGCTATAAAGTGTAAGCGCTTCAGAGGTTGGTTGAGCACGGTTTAACTATAATCAGAGTTGTGTTGGTGCTCCCTTGATCACGCAGGGCGCTACTTTGGTGATAATGTTGTCCGCTACTGATGGCTTTCAGGATTTGCGCGATATGACATCCATCCCAATATACCTTTACACGGATAATAAAACGTTCTTAGCTTCGTGCCTTTTAGCTGTTTGGCACCCCAACATTCTAGGTGTCCTTAAGTTGTTGGGTGGCCCATTTTTTGTACTTTTTATTAACCCTTTCGTTGACGCCATACACTTCTATATGAAGGGACACCATACAATTTTTAAGTATAAAGCCCTTAAAGGATACTTTAAGTAGCTTTCTACGGCACAAAATGCCAGAGGTTTATGTCCAAATTCTATGTAATTGTAGAGGTTATATACAAAAACGGGACAGAAGAGTACCTCAGGTATTCTTTTGCAACACCATTTTTTCTGGTCAGCAATTGGCTGGTAGCTCACTCAACTGCAATTTTCCGGTTTGTCACTTGCAGAATAATGTCAGTAATTGAAGTACCGTGGGCTACACGGCCTCTAGAATTATGTGGCCCCCACACACTTCTCTCGCGCTCCATCTACTACCCAGCAAAGCAAACACAGCATCTTCCGCCTACACGGCCTCTAGAATTATGTGGTCCCCACACACTTCTCTCGCGCTACATCTACTACCCAGCAAAGCAAACACAGCATCTTCCGCCTACACGGCCTCTAGGGTATGCGGCCCCCATACACTTCTCGCGCGCTACATCTACTACCCAGCAAAGCAAACACAGGATCATCCGTGGCCTACACGGCCTCTAGGATTATGCGGCCCCCACACACTTCTCGTGCGCTACATCTACTACCCAGCAAAGCAGACACAGGATCTGAACAATCTGAGCAGGGTACACTCGCAGATGTCAACAGATGCAAACTTGCACAGTGTGACATCACGTACAAACCCACGGGGAAGATCGACGGTACGCAGGTCATGTTCATAAGTGTTATCTAACCTATATGCTCTGTCAGCTAACGATTATGATGCAGCTTTTACGAAAATGTTGATGTGGCTTCGTTGCTCCCGGGTCTCAGGCTGAGAAGACCACAACTCCAGATTTTGCGAAAGCACAACGTGGTCTTAAGCGACAAAGGCTGTCGTATACCGCCAGGGAGTCACAGAGGAGGCGACCTACCGACCTGAAGGTATTTAAGGGCTGCGCGTTTTGCTCAGTGCTAGGCTCGCGTCGAACGGACATTTTGCAAGGTCACCGACATCTGTGTCGCGCACTCGACACTTGTGTCAAGAACAGACTGCCCTGAAGTCTACGTACTTCACGTTGATCCTTTTACACAAGTCACGGACGCTCGAAAAGCTTTTATTCTAACGAAGATAGCCAGATTTGTGGGCAGTGCCTGGCTACTATGCACGATAGTGAACAAAAGCTACGGACTCCGCTGCGTAGCCATATCTAGAGCCTCAGCAGCTCTACAATCTCTTTCTCGCCGAAATGCTTGACGTGAAGAAGACTCCTACCTTTTAGTGCCCCAGCTTAATTTTATCCACTCAAATCACGTGTTCGATAAACTCAGCTGCATAGACCAGTGATCTCCCACGAACCGCACCTGGATTGTAAAGGGATGTTCTTTTCAGTCTAGATTTTGCCGTCTCCTGTAGATATGGCTGATTGTCCAGTATGTTGCTCGAATTTGTTTTTTTTAAATGCTCTTGCAACTGACTGTGTATGATGTACTCAAATAGCTACCAACCCCAGAGGAGACGCTGGGCTGGAATGGAGGTTGTGGCGTGGATATCAACATGGTGCGTGAGCTGTAAGCTCGTTATGTGAAGCTCTTGGTAATTGATGTATGTTCAACCCAGGCTCTGGAGTACTTCGCTGCCGGCACCCATCAGCCTATCGAATTCGACAACCTATACCCTGTCTCCTATTCGCTTGACCCCCAAGTACGCTATGTGGCTTTGTTATCCAATGATAAAATCTCCGCTGACGAAAGCGGTTTTTGCTCTTAGAAACGCGAGCGCAGTTTTGGCTCATACGCCGGAATTGATGATTTCATTGGGGCCCTCCCTGTGAAACAGATGTACATAGTTTATGCAGAGCTTTATGCAGGCAAGCAGGATCACCTTCACGAGTACATTATGATGCTGCGATGGCTGAGATCCTCCATGGAAATTTCGGAGGTATGACTCTGCTTATGCGTGTTTTTGTTAGCTGCTATCAGCGCCTTACTTGTTATCTACACTAGATCACAGTCAAACACCTTCATGATCGTCTAAGTTTCTTGAAGGTCTACCTTGAGTATACCCGGACGAAGCTCGAAGAACACTACAAGTGCTACAAGAAAATGAAAGCGGACGAAGCTGTTGATGACGAGGTAATTTACCTCCACAAGAAGGACGGGTTCCACAAGAAACGTGGCTACAGTATTTTTGTATATCTAAGTATGGCCATGACCGTCGTCAACGTATTGGCGAAGCAAATTGACAAGTATGAATGGCAGCAGTGCCAATGCACCAAGTGCGCGTACTATCGGTCGCCCGAGTGGCGCCAAACGAGACCTGATGACATTACGCCTGCCATGCTACCTCCAATGAGGTTTTATCGCCGCGGAAGCAAAGGAGTGAGTCCCTCTGAAGAGATTTACCGCAAACAGCGTGGACAGAAGTTATAAGAATACTTCCGTTTCCAAACGAAAACGAAGCTCTCAAGTAGTAAGTGAAAACATTTTGCTGTGTGAGGATGCTATCAGTTATGTTATTGTAGCACCATGCGTATCCGCAGGACTGTTAACGGAATGGACTTGTACAAAAAGCAAGGGGCTATCTTCGAGTGACTCCGGTGTAACAAACTCGCGACAAGCCTTTTGTAGGTACGAGGGTAGTCGAGGGGGGGGTTATTCAATAGCTCATCAGCTGTATCCGAATACGAAATTGACGCACTTCAGAGCCTTCAACCGTGATTTTGGAGACAGCGGTGGCAGCACGTGCTCAGAACCTTCAAGACTTCTTACGAGTTGCGGATGTGATAAAGGCGTTCGAGCTCATTGTGTAGCTAAGCTTTAACATCCTTTCGGTGGAATTGGGTATTCAATGATCTGCTCTTTTGCGTCGATGGCGGTGTACGTGCGTCCATTAGCAGCTGTCTAGTCGTGTGTGTGCGTGTGAATGCGAATTCTGACGGTCTTTTATCGCTCGAAAGTGGACACATTTACGTGTACTAAGCGTCTAGCCCATAAGTAGCTTCTCGGTGGCTTACCCTTGCGGGCGTACCACAGTCCCCTCGTTCAGCAGCTCCGCGATGGCCAGATAACGTACGACGTACGTTTGGGCTTTCTAAGGATCGGTATTGAGCGAGCGTATTAATAGTATGGACCTTCTTCCACAGCCAGAATGGCAGATATAATGAGGAGAGCACCACCTCAGCGTGCGACAGAAACCCAGTATCTTGGTTTTGTACGCGATAGACGTGTAGAAGATCTCACCTTGCTTGGATCACGAACGACGCGGGATAGTATACACATTCAGCAGGATTTTCAGTAGCTCGATCCGGTCAAGCCTACTGTCCGTCAATACCATCTGGATCTTCTTCATGGTAGCGCCAGACGAAAATACTCTCGAACGATTTCTTCAGTGCGTCCCAGTGGTGCAGATGTGCTCGATGTAGCAGCGCCTTCATTGATGGTGAATACTACACCACACGATCCCCGTTAATCAGTGACTAGGCGAGAATTGGGTCGAGTTGGGCTGTGTCGATAACGGGGGGGGGTGCAGGTTTGCTCACGGGCAGAGTCGATGAATAGAAGCGCCGGTCGGCAAATTTTAAAATGACCGCTTGATAACCACGCTGGCCGGAAAATTGCCGCCACACGCCAGCAAACACTTCACATGTTGAAGCAACAGCTCAACCAATCATAGCTCGTTTGAACACGGCTCCACCAATCGCAAAACAACCTTTTAGATACCAATATCTTATTGGTGGAATGGTCACCCCGAGGGAAAACGCAGCCCCAAACCCTGAACGATTTGGCAACTTCAACGTCGCGCCAAATTTGAATTCATCCTGGTAATTTCTACGTTAATTTTTTAATTTTTACTGATATATTGTTCTCTCGTATATATTATAATTCCTTTCCTTAAAAAGTGCATATTTCAATTCACGTAGACCTTCGCCGACAGCAAGCAGCAGTTCTTAAAAGTTGAGTTGAATATGTAGGACTCTCCTGAAATGGATTTCACTCGAAGACCTCTCTGCATGCAAGTACGTGAAAATTTCAATGCTTCAATATACTCTACCACTGAGTATGAATCCAGTCGTCCAAATCGCTTAAGTACGTATAGATCGATAGACAAGTGATCTCCACAATCCCACAACCATCGAATCCTGTCAATGAGAACGTGCAACTGGAAGTACTAAAACCTGAAATATAGCCTTTTATAAAGTTATGACCTACATTTAATCTTATACTGTAATGTTATTATAGGTTCACTGATACTGAGAATATTTACTACTATTATTACTCATAGTATTCAGTGTTTCTTTAGTTTCACTTGATACTCAGAGTATCAAGTGAAACTATAATAACAGTTTAAAAGTATACATATAGATAGACCTGGAGATCAAGTTGAGCTCCGGCTGGGTGGAGTGCGCCGGCCACGCCGACCGCTCGTGAAACGACCTGTCGGTTAACGCCAAGAAGAGTAAGGTCAAGATTGTGGGCACGCACAAGTTCGACGATCCCGAGAAGCGCCTGATCGTGGAGATCAAGCCGAATAAGGGCAAGATTGGCCGAACGTTCAAGGCCGATGTGGCCGCGATCCTCGAGGCGCTAGAGGCTTTGAAGGATGATGTGCCACGCGCCCAGGCTTTCGAGGACGAGCTGACCTCCAAGAGCGAGGCCACGCTGGGCCCGCTGTGCGACGGCAAGCAGTTCACGCTGCAGCGCGACATGGTGGCGACTAAGTTGGTGGAGAAGATGGTGAGCGAAGAAAAGTTCGTTCCCTTCGGTGATCGAGCCCTCGTTCGGCATTTCCCTTGCCGCTTTTGAACAAAATTTCGATTCTCGCGAGGGTGACGAGAAGCGCGGCGTCATGTCGTCACCCTTGATCGCCCCCGTCAAGGTGTCGGTGCTGCGTCTGAGCAACATCCCGGACTTTGAGCCATTCGCGACGGACCTGGAGAGCGTCTTCGTGGAGGAACGCCTGGAGTGCAAGGTGGGCACGTCAAGTGTCGCCATTGGCCGCAAGTACGCACGCGCGGACGAGCAATATTTCAGCGTAGGCTGACATTTGGGGACATTTGTCAGATGCAACGAGGCAATTATCATCAAGTCAGCGAACGAAGGCTGGTACTACGTGGACACTAACGTCAAAAAATGTAGTAGCGATTCAACCTCAAACAGACGGAAGTCAACAGCAAATTGTTTGTCTGCAGTGAAAAACTTGTCACTCATCTGGTGATTTCACTAACTTAGTGCTTGTTGACATGCATGTTCGACATGAAAAGGTCTGAGCCCTTTCTAGAAATAAAACGTCTTACGAACGTTAGTTGGTTCGACGAGCTGCTCGTTCATTGCGACGCCTGTCGTTGCTTGCTCGACGATAATCCTGGCGAAACCATGTGTATGGAATTGTTGTCGGATTCCAAGCGACATCCACAACCTGCGTATCATACTCATCGTAGTAGGGCTCCCCTACTTGACCTTCGTATTCACCTTCTGAAATCTCAATAACAGCGTTGTCATCACTCTCAGCGCTCTGGTCATCGTTATCACTCGTCGCCATATCCTCGTCGGTCTGATCCGACGAGGGGCTTCGTACATCGAGATCCACAGCGCGTGAAACTGCGGCGTTAGACGCGTGAGTAGCATCAGTAGCAATAGAAGAAGGACCAGTCGAAGCTCGGGCACTAGCGCCACCAAGAAAACTAGCGCCATGGCCATCACTATGGCTACGAGGAGCGGCGCCATCACTACCTCTGTCACGACCTGCAGCATCACCACCATTACCCGTGACCGCTTGATCGTGAGGAGCAATAGCGTTTCGGCGATGCGCTGCAGCAGTAGTAGCTTGGTCATCTCGTACATAAAGAGCAGCAGACATGCAACCATGGCCAACAGGAGATCATCTGTGAGCAGTACCACCACCAGCAATTCGATCGTGGATAGTAGACGCAGTAGCGATTCGATCGCGACCTGCATGGGGTTGGTCAAGGGTAGCTGCTGTAGATGCGACTTGGTTGCGGTGAGAAACATCTCGGATGTACGTAGCATTAGGAATGCGACCTTGGCCTGTAGAAATAGTAGCACTTTGGCCGCGGGTAGTAGAAACAGCAGCAGCCCAGTAGGACACAGTATTGACTGAAACGTGCGGTGCGGCGCCTGCAATTTGGTCGCTATGACCAGCGTCTCGACGATTAAAAGCAGCAATTCGGCCGTTACCGGTGATCTCTCGGCGTTGATCTGTGGTACGCGCCATTTGGTCATGGTCGGTGGCATCTTGGTTGTTAACTGTCGTAGCAACTTTCCGGTCGCTACCAGCGGTATGTCGACCGTGAGCAGCAACAACCCGGCCAACATTAACGTCGTCTTGGCGGTGGTCTGCATCATTAGCGATTCGGTCACGGTCACCAGCTTCTCGGCGCTGATCTTCAGCAGCGGTATTATGGTCCAAGTTTGCGACACATCGACCGTTCGTCGTAGCAGCTTGGTAAGCACCAGCAGGAAACTGGTAGTCTGGATGGTCATGCCGGTAGTCAGGGAGCACTAACTGAGCTGCACATACCTCACGTTTATCGATATAGCCTTCGTGGGACGCGAAAAATGCACGAAGACTTTGTTGTACATCGCATTCGGGTACGTTTCGCTCCAGCAGACGTTTACGGAGCAGCTTTCTTCCAGGTCCGGTGATTCGCGTGGTGGGTCTTTTAGCACGCTCGCATAGGGCCACGAATTTTTTAAAATTATACACCCCACGACTCGGCTTTTGAGGATTCATCAGACAAAGACGAAATCGAATATGCTTTAACTCTCACACTTACCACCTTCCTATGTTCTTTCTCACATCTCAATCTTACGTTTCCCATATTTTTTTTTTCTTTTTGGCAGGCATGGGACAACTGCAATTTTGATAGGCATTCTCTCCCCCGACACGAGCCCATCCGGTGGTGGTGACACAAGCCTATCCGGTGGTGGCGACACAAGCCTATCCGGTGGTGGCGACACAAGCCTATCCGGTGGTGGCGACACAAGCCCATCCGGTGGTAGCGACACGGTGGTGGCGATACGAGCCCATCCGGTGGTCACGACACAGAAAACAACTCCTGAGACTTACCCAAATCGGGGAAGCGAAGAAAATAATGCGCATTTTAGTGTGCTGGGCAATGCTGAGGGCATCTGATCCTGCGATATGAAGTTGTTCATGGTTGACGGGTGCACGGACATTGAATGGTTGATGGCGGGGCACTAACTATGCTGTATTTACTAATTTTTCGTTTTGCTACGCTTTTGTGAATGTGTGCGGAGGAACGAGTAAGGCTTACCGGCATTCGGGAAGTACGTCCTGAAAAACATTTAACGATATGCACCTACATATATTTCATTTTCGTGGTGTATACGGGCCATTATGGATCTCCTGATGCTGAGCATTGAAGATTTTCAGCTCAGTTGAGCCGCTGTGTGTGAGAGTGTGCCGTCATAAGTGTGAAGGCATGCCATCTGAGTTTGAGCTACCAGATTTTCCCAACGGTGAAGCTGGCATTAGCCTACGCTGAGCAACTACATGTATAACTGAATCACATTTCAATAGATACGGACTTGGGTAGAAACGATTGCTACTAAACGTGCAGTGACGATAACCAAATCTCGTGGTAACTTCAGTACATTCGTGCACTGCTTACTCGCCTCTTTTGACGAAAATATAAATCGGCACCTCACTTGATGTCCAACTCACATTCACGTGTACACAAGTGCGTAGTTTCCAACGACGGCAGAAGTGTTTCGTGCAGATAGAATTGTGTCTTGGACAAACCGCACTGGTGAGCGCAGCAACTCTGGCATCAGGCATACATGCGAGCTGATCGGCGATGTGATTTGTGGCTGAAGGATCAAAGCGCAAGTTGTTTGCGAACACGATTGTGGCGCTTGTGAACGGAGACTTAGTTGACAGATCGATCTTTTTCACATCTTGCGCGTAAATATCGGCATTTTGCAGTCTTGGCCAGCTCACTACGTGTTCACTCAATATCCCATTGCAATGACCTACTAGATCACGACGTATTTCAATCCCAATGCTCGATCGAACAGCAGTTGAAAGCACAAATTGAACTACGATATTCCCGACGCCAGAGCCTATATCCAGAAATACATCCCAAGCCCCAATCGCACCAATCTGGTGTATTGAGGCAATCATCGACGACACCCCACTCGGTAGTATCTCCCCAGCATTTAGATGAGCTGCACCGGGTGGGTACACGACCTCGCTCCGAGATATATTCTTAAACAATTACAACTTGATGCACATCACGTGGTACATTGTTGTCATGGAGTAATGAGCGAGTGTCATATTGCTTCGCTGAAACAAAAAGGTTGGCTACCACTGCAGCGGAAGGCTCTGGAGCTTCCAACATAGTTCCATCCATTGGCAACGGAGTGTTTTCTGCTAACGTCTGGCCAAAATTGGTCGTCGCTGGACCAGAATCCTCTACAGTTGACGTCCGCGTGGCTTCCGATAACGAAGACACAAATTCCATGTCGATTGGGTGAGATGATACTCTGCCTCGCTGTTGTTTGAAAGACTTTCCATGCCCTTGCTGGCTAGGTCCCTGCGCTGTCGATTTGGCTGATCCGGCGCTACCATGGGGCTGACGGATGCGCAGTATTTGAACACTTCTGCGACCTCGGGAGGCGCGGACAGGAGTGTAAAAACAGCGTGGAAATTTTGACAACTCCGATCCGAAGGTGCGTTTAAGCGAGCTCAATCTCTGGGCGAGTTCCTTGGGTGAACGCCTCCAACGTTTCATCTTCGCAGCGACATCCTTCCACGCAATACGCACTACTCCCTGGTCAACATATTGGCGAACAATTTGCACCAGCTCCTTGTCTTCCTCCTCGAGAAAGGTAGTGCTCGGTATTATTCAGAATCCGTGGGTCAGGGAAGATCCAATCACAGCACAACTATGACATTCAGTATGGAATTTGGGGGGGGGCTGCACACATGTTGATTTGGGCATGCAAATTCATGGAGACTAATCATGGCTGAATTGAACTTAAGATTTTACAGATGTATCTTCTCAACTTTGAAAAACAAAAGTTTTGTAGTTTATTCTATATAGGTGTAAATAAAGTTATGACTGACTTAATGCAGGAATCGTAGTTCTCGGGTTGAATGGCATGGTGTCTACTTGTTATTATCTAAGAGAAATGGGTGGTGTAAGTTTAGATAGCGTGACCGGCATTACAGTTGTAAAATTGCTTCTAGAGTTCATTCGCGCTGCACTGAAAGCCTATTTGCTCGCTAAATTATGTCAGGATTTACGATTTAAGAGTTATTATAATTCTTGGGTTCCGAATCAAGTGTTTGTACCACCCAACATTAAAGTTGGCGCGAAGTTGAAGTGAGTAGATTAAGTTTTTTTTACTTTCTGTCCGCATCGCCAATTCCACGAATTAGATACCTTCACTTTACGTGGGATGTGCTGTGATTGGTGGAGCTGTGGATACAAGGGATGTGATTGGCGGAACCACGGTCAAAAGAGATGTGATTGGCGGAGCCGTTGTTCAATACAAGAGCGATCTCACTGGCGACTGCAAAAGTTCCCGCCCCAGCGAGTAGCAAGCAATGACCCATTTCCAAATTATCCGAGAGCCACACAAGTCTCTCCAGAGCCCTAGCCGACTTGAACAACTCGCTCGCCACGCCTGCTATCGCTGCTTCATTTTGCCTGTGCCATTCCCATGCAACACACCGAGGCAGTATCGACAAGATGCTGATCAGCTTTGCCGACCAGTGTGCTACTCGTCGCCAATGAAGAGCTGCTGAAACACGTATTCCCGATTGGATCTATGATGCTTGGGTGGCGTTGTGCTCATCCAAGGTCGGGCTGCGAAATACCAGTACGATGTTGGTTCACAACGTTCGTTGTGGCGTTGCTAAATCGTCCGGACAACGCTCACTATTAAGAAGGTCCGTCACGACCTAAACTGCATCATCTCCTTGTGAACACTACCGAGGAGCATTC